TTACTATATAAAACAACAGATTGATCCACATGAATACATCACGATACATGATGACACTATAGTTTGCCTAATCAAAATAAGATAATGTTCCAAATCAATTTTTTTTTATAAATAATATACTCCGTAGTTTTGAGATTATACTAAAAGTGATTAACAATAAAAGATGATAATATTTGCAAAAAAAAAAGTAATTTAGAAACGGAAAAAATTAAATCATTTGGTGAAGAAATGTTTTTTGGCTCTACTGAGTTAGATTATAGTCCGTACGTAGTAATTAGAAATACTCGTTTGGAAACCCATTTCACCAAATTAAATCATTTGGTGAAGAAATCTTATTTGCTTTTTAAAGCAATAGAAAACATTTCCTTGAATAAGTGTATCCTTCATACTCGTATTGCTTATCTTAAGGATTATTTTAATTTTTCATATAACTTGTTCTTTATTTATTTTTATAAAAAATATTTTGTATATATTTTTTTATAATTCAACAAATTTAACCATGTCACACACCGAATGAACAATTATTACTAAGGATGGCAATGGGGGCGGCAGGGCCGGCTTTTGGGGGAGTTAGCCTAGACAAATGTCTAGGGCCTCCAAATAATATGGGGCCTCCAATTTTTAAAAAATTTATAGTATATACATTTATTTAATTAGAATTAGAATTCTACAAATAGTATGGGTTGCACAGCACTACCAAAGACACGAGAGTGAGGAGCGTGCATATTTAATACGGAAGTATTTTACATTTTCTAAGCTAAGAAGTATTTTACGCATTAATTACATTATGTCTCACATTTGGAATGTTTCTTTACTTTTTTTAGATTTGTTTTCAGTATTTTGGTTTTTAAAGTTCATAGTATATTACAACTTATAAAATTGTTGATTTATTCATTTAAGTTTTAAGATAGAAAAAATATTATTTTTATTCCTTTAGGTGTTTGCTTGTTACGTTTCACAAATCACAATTGTTTTGTTTGTTCATTTTGAATTTGAGCCTTTTAATCTCAAAAGGTTTCATATTTTTTACTTAATTATGCTATAAAAAGTGTAAAACCGTATATTTGGGATTCATGATTGTTCGGTGATTTTGTATAGGAAGTTAAAACTAAGCTGGTTAGAAAATTACTCTGTAATATATTTGTTGATTTCTGATAAAGAAAAACATTAAAACTATGACTTTCTAAGATAGAAAAATAAGTTGATTTAAATAATTACATTTCTATATAATTATAGGTTTGAGCTTAGATTTTCTTTTTCTAACTATTTTGGAAAGGAATTAGAAAATAAAGTTCGTTAGATTATATCTGATCAACCATGGCCAAAGATAGACTAGCTAACTGGGTTGACTATGAGCCCGTTTGGAGACCTATGTTTTCAGCTTATCAGACTTATCAGCCAGCTTTTTCACCAAACACGTAAATTTTACTTTCGCGCGCTGAATTGTGTAATAAGCCGAAAAAGTAAGGTTGGAGTTACTTTTCTGGCTGTATTGGCTGAAGTTACTGTAGATGACCATTTTAGCTATTTTTACATATAATTTTTTCTTTATTTTATTAATAAAATATATTTTTAAAATATTTTTTTCTTAAATCAGCAGAATCAGCCAAAACAGCCACTTCAGCCAAAATATCATAAATTTCAGCAGAATCAGCCAAAATAGCCAATTTTGGTGCTACCAAACAGGCTCTATATTATTGATGAAGAAAAAATGTGCATTTTTGGTGCATTTTGGGCTAACTGGCTTCTATTTGTTTCATGTAATACTCTTTATATTATATTAAGGAAACAAGAAAAGGAAAATGCACGCTAATAAATTCCCAAAGTTAAATATTACTCATATTTGATTTTATGTCTAGGGCCTCAAAGTTGTTCTAGACGGCCCTGGGGGGCGGGGACCCGTGGGGAACCGCCCCGTGGGGGAAGGATGGGGCGGGGCTTGGGGCGGGGTGGGGGCGGGGATGGGTGAAATATTTTTACGCCGTTAAAATATGGGGTGGGGGACGGATATTGGTACACCCGCCCCGTCCCCGCCCCGTCCCCGTAATAAATATATACTCAAACATATATATATTTATACACATATATAAATAATGTACACACATTAAACTAAATTATTTGTAGTATATAACAAACGCATATACATATAGACATACATAATTGTATGCGGTTTATCATGGTTAATGAATTAATACATATTATACTAGAATAATAATAAGCTAGTGATGATTAAAAATATTTATCATACATGTTACTCCGTATATGAGTTTTAAGAGTGAGAAAGTGAGTAAATAAATACACAAACATTTATATGTAATATAATATGTAATTAATTGTATTATAATTGTTGAGAATTTTGAAACAACGTACATGATGATAATATGTTTACTTATATTTTTACATTAATTGTTTTCAATTCACAAAACTTATTCAAATTGAAGAATTATTATAAATGGTGGTATTAACTTTTAACAAACACAATACTTCAGTGTTGCGTGCGTGTGTGTGTGTCATATATCACTGTGCGCGCGTAGATATTATATATGCTTAGGATCAAATGAGAACAACGTTTGACACGAGAACGTGCGAACACCACATTTACCCCCAATGTGAAGCACAATGGGCTCGCACAATGCACTATTTTATATCTAGCACCATATTTACAAAAGTGTCACCGTGATTATTTATATTAGCTTGTATTGAGCGAAGTCCAAATGTGAACTAGAACTGCTTTATTGTGTGTCACATTGGATTATTGTGTAATATACTGGATTAAATGTGAGTGTTCCCACGTTAAGCATCGTTTTCATTGGAATCGCACTACATATGTTTATAATAAGATATTAAAAAGTATATGCAAATACGATAAATTAAATTTATATGGAGCACCCGTGGGGGACAATGGGGTGGGGCAGGGATGGGGCAGGTCTGGGAGTAACGAGGGATGGGCGGGGATGGGGGGGAACTTTTTAGACATGGGGTGGGGATGGGGGAGTGTACCCCGCCCCAAATCTGCCCCTAAGAGCATCTCCAATGGAAGGGTGCATTGCAGCTGATGTGGCATAGGAGAGAGATAGAGATAGAATAAATATTTGGATGAAGTGGTGTGTAGGAAAAAATGAAAAAGAATAGAGAGATAGAGGTAAAAATGGACCAAGGTCTATGACAAGATCCATATATGGACCTTACACGGGATTCGATGAGGAAAAGTTGATGAAAAGTGAGTTAAAAGTGATATAAAAAAATGAAAAATAAAAATAAATTAGGAAATACGTGGGTCCTACACATAAAAATTGTGAGATAAAAAATGGAACTCATGCTTAAGGGGTGTGTAAGAGACCACACCATTGCATTGAGGATGCTCTAATTATTACCTCTACAACTTTTCCGTGAAATGGCTCTCAAACCAATAAAAGTGGTCGTAGGGGGTAATCGGTTCCCACTTCCCAGCTATTGAAAATTTAAAGATGTTTGTCAACTTTTAACAGTGGATCTTTATCATTTTTCAGCTATTCCGTAAAAGTTGAGGCCCGTTTGGCATGTGGATGCTTGACTGTAATGGTTATTGGCTGAATTTAAATAAAAGCATCTAATTAGTAAAATATATTTCACGCAAATGATCAACTGATCAAGTCCAAACTCCAAAGCTAAGGTCTTACAGTTTTAGGTTTTCCTTTTTCCAGGGGCGGATCCAGGATTTCATGTTGGGCTGAGCTGAAACACTTAAATAATAATACATTGAAAATTTTCAAAATAAACAAAAAATCAAATATTAGAGTTCTCCAATAAATTTGTTCTCAACAAGGCATTGAAACAAAAGAACCCATCAACAATAAAGTCTACATCTATACTAAGAGTAATGTCTTTTTCAGTATAAAGTCATCATTCATTTTGTTGAGGAGTGCTGCCTTTAGAAGTTGTTTCATGGTATAAAACGAGCATTCTAATTTTGCAAAAGAACATTAAGTTCAATAAAAGGAAAATCAATCTACTCATCATAACATATGAATCAGATTTTATGCTCTTAGTAAACTCCTCACATAATTCAACAAATGTAGATACTCTAACTTTGTACATGAGTACATCATGAATAGAGTGTTGCAGCTCGAATTCCAATGCACGAATGTCCTGACTACTAAAATTTTCGGGATAGAAATTCCTTGCAAGAGTACAAATAACATCGACATTGGATGACTCATATAAATTTTTGGGATCCAATGAAGTACTCAAAGAAAGGAGTTTTACTGGTTTATCATTAAATCGGGTCTTTAACTCAATCAATACAAAGTCTATTGCCTCATAGAAAACAACAAAGTGATAATGATGTTCAACAGTAGTTTCTTTCTGCAATGACCAACCGTATATTCAAAATTCAACTTCGGTACATGAATTTCATGTTTTGAGCGAAACTCCTTTACTTCTTCAAGAAAGCCTTCCCATCCGTTTTTTGTCAATTCCTCTAGAATGATTGGTTGTGTAATGGGAAAATGTCTCTCATGGCTAACAAGATATCCAATAAATTTTTTCGAATGCCTTGACAAAATTCATTATTTCCATAACTTTGTGCACCAAAAGTAAATGATCACAGATTCAAAACATGAAAAGTGTTTATATACACTACGAACTTATGCCCGAGAACTCATTTTTGGGCAATGTTTTTGAAGATACTCAAGCACTTTAAAAGTTGTTGTGAACATGTCATGAATAAAGTCCTTATATGTATATACTAAGTGCCAATTATTAAGTATGAGGGTGATGTGTATAACATTTAGATTAGATTTTTAGATGTTAAAATTTTGTATTATGGGCTGGACTGAGAAATTGGACTGGGCTATAGAAAATTTGGGATGGGCTAGATGCAATTTTTTAAACATAATACCTTGAAAATAATAATTTTTTTTACTTTGCTCTGGGTTTCAGCCCACCATAGCCCTAACATAAATCCTCCCCTGCCTTTTTTAAAACTACAAACTAAACTTTGGAAACCGTAAAAAGTTGTTTTTCAACTTCCAAAAATAACATGATTAATACAAGTGTGATCATTTTTATAGTTCATTGTACAACATATATCATATACGGTGTATCATTTAGAATCATAACATAAAACAAACAAATATTAGAGCTTTTTCTGCCATTCCCATTTAATTTCTACTTAAGGAGAATAACCAATGTGAAGAATGCTAATTTGGTGTGTTTCTTATGAACATACATTTCACAATCGTTCTGTATATCTAACTTTCCAAAAGTATACTTGTAATGTACCGAATCAAAATTAGAGCAACCACGCGTGACACGAATGGTGGGGTATTGGACTCATAACGTTAGCTCGCCGCTATCGGAAATAATAACTTTGCTCTTTGGAGTTCCACTTTGCCTCCCTTCTGCCTCAATCTTGTGTATAATGTCCATCCCTGAGAGGACTTTGCCAAACACAACGTGTCGCCCATCCAACCTATTCAAACCATAGAACAAGAAGTCATTGGAATCTCTAAAACAGATCTTCCTGCGCATACAATGAATGAGGGGAGTTTGGCATGACAAAATGACATATTGAGTACTACGTATATTTTATAAAACCATTTCTAACAGTGTGAGAGAAGTATAAACTATTTTACCAGCTTGTTGCCACTGTGGTGATGAAAAACTGTGACCTGTTGGTATCTGGTCCAGCATTCGCCATTGATAGAATTCCTAGTCCCAAAATAACATTATAAGGCTCTGTTTGGTAAGGGTGATTTTGTCTGAAGTTGGTGAAATTACTGAAATTTGAGTGATATTTAAGTAGTTAAATTGCTGAATTACAAGTGAAAAGGAATTTTTAACACACACATGCACAATATATAAGGCAGTGTGTGCATTATATAAAATAATGTTTGGTAAAAAGATCAAGTAGATAAGGTTAATAATTTGAAAAAGAGGCTGCAAAACGGACACTAAGGCTGCATTTAGTACACTTAGGTTTATTCTGCTTATCAGTAGAAGCATAATAAGCATACCAAGAGCATGTTGAATAACAATGAATCAGTTGAATCTACTTAAATTGCTGAAATTGTGGTTCAAACAATTGAATAGCCTCTTGAATTTGCTGATTTATAGAAAAATTATATTTAAAGTATACTTTATAAATAAAAAAGAAAAAAAATTGAAAAGGAAAAACTAAAATTGCCCTCTTCAGCAAATTTCATAGATTTAGCTACAAAAGTAACTTCGATTATTTGGTAAAAAAAGAGAGTACCAAATAAGGTGATAAGTCGGTAAAGACAGTCCCAAATGGGCACAAAGTAGCTTTTGGCCTTGGTTTGCTGAAATAGATGTTACGAAGTATATTCATACCAAAGACATTTCCTTAAGAAACTTCAGCGAATTATGTCATTTTAAGTCATAAGTATTTGGTAGTTCAATATATGCCTCTACAATGAATTGTTTGGTTTAAACATTACCAGAACCAGTGTGCTTCAGTTTAAAGTTCTCATCTGCAAAGCTGTTTCCATATATTGATTCTCCACCTCTCCCATCCCCACTAGTGAAGTCACCTCCCTGGATCATGAAGCTAGGTATGATCCTGTGAAAAGCACTTCCTTTATAGTGGAGACTTCTCCCGCTCTTTCCCATCCCTTTTTCTCCTACAATGGCAAATATTTATTTAGCACCCGCTGGACATTGTTAATTGTTGATATATTGACTAGTATAAAAGAATTTTATAAATCGTTAGATTTTAGAAATAATACTTTCCCACCTAGGAAACATAGTACATAACTACATATCTACAATTCATACAGATTTTGTTAGGGATTTTACTTTCTTAGTACCAGTTAGTGACTACAACATCATTTTATACTGCTCACTAACCTATGCCTAAAACATAATTTTGTGGCAATGCAAAAAGAGAGTAAAAAGTTACTTTGGTTGTCACTAACCTGTGCATAGAGCTCGGAAATTTTCTGCAGAATGAATATCACTTCAGTTTCAATTGATAGTTGTAATATACGAAGTGTAGTATTTTTGAAATCATCAATGAAAATAAAATGGATGATATAGTAGCGTGCAACATCATACCTACAGTTTTTGGAACAGTGTTTCCAAAGAGGCCTATGACCACACGACCTGAAATGGAGGTTGACATGATTATATGGAATGACAAACCGAAATGAAATCAGACTTCAATAGCTTCTAGTATGGCAGGAGAAAATGAAGGGCCAAAGTTTGTTTTTTGTAGAGCGAATTCACATCTGCATATTGTGGTATTTAAACACAAAACGGATGCACACAATTCTTGTGTTTCCCATATACAAACTATGAAGCTATTATTGTGTTGCTTTTATACCAACTTTGACCAATGTTACTGGAAGTATACGTTTGAAAAATCTTAAGGTCAGTTTGGCTAGAGGGTTTTGGAGGGGCTAGTCTATATCTTGTCGTGATAAATAGGATTCTTTTTAAAACGAGTAAAGGGTGATCAGATTCTCAGGTGATCGTGCACTACGTTATTCATTTCCATTTTTTTAAAGAAACTCAAAATTATGGCATGAATCATTGATATAGCATCTCATTGATATGTTGATATAGCACCTCTGAACACCAAAACCCGTCCATTCAAACTGGCCCCTAAAGATGCTAGTCATACTATAAGGTCAAACCAAATCTAAGGGTTATCCTAGAGTCCTACTTTCATTACCTTCTACAAGGGGTTGGGATTAATTCGGAATGTTTGCTAATACCTCTATTCCAAATTAAATGTCGCTGTAGCCAAAGTTTTTGTTTGGAAATGATATCATTTGAGGAAATCAATGCATATTTTGTCCTAATATCTCATGTGTGCCCATAAAAACTCTACTAGCAGTAACTTCTTTGGTGGCTTTGCAAAAAAGCGAAACAAATTTAAGTTAAGCTTGTATAGGTATATAAAAAAGGGTCTTCTTGCAATATTTCTGTGTGAACTTCTCTAAAACGTTGATTATTTTGTTAGGGAGAGAGCATGTAGCCAGAACATATTTCTCACTGCAATATTCCATATGCAGCCATTTTATAGGATATTGACAATGAAGATCACAATCTCATCTTCTAGAATGGCTGAAACAATACTAATAGAGCATGATGTATCTTTCAGAAATAAATGTACTAAGCTATGAGTTAACATAAAAAACAACACAAATTAAGTAATGCAGAGAAACTATTTTCAGGTTAAAGATGTGCTGTTACATCATTTGCCAGAAATGCGGTAAAATGCTATCAGAAGCAGAAGACAAAAAACGAAACCAAAAAGAGAAAAATAATTACCTGCAGGATTTCCATTAATTTCAATGTCGAAGTATACTTTGTGTGTAACATCCTCTACATCTTCAGTTGTTTTTCCCTACACCAGTTTGCAGGGCAGATTTTGAAGAAAAACGCTATTAGTATTATATCCTTCGTAGACAGTCGGTGGAGCCAGAAATGTATATTATAATTTTTTTGAAAAGGGCTAGGCTTCTTGCAATCTTGTTATCTCCACAACTGTAAACAATTACCTGACTCCAACATACAAACTGAAGTTGTTTTCTATTAATTTGAATAGAAATTGACCTAAATAGGAATAAAACCAACGTGAAATTGTCAAAATTTGTCAAATATTACATTAATACTGCAACATTAATTCACTCATATTTAGAGGAAAAATATAGTACTTCCATTTCGAATTTCAGGTTGTTAATATTCCTATCTAGGAGAATGTACCTAATTCAGATATAAAAAGTGATTACAAACCTTATGATCGATGCTTTTCTGGTCTATTGGAGCTGAAACATCACTTATGCGGTTCTGCAAGGATAATATATCAGTGCGCCATAAAATTGAGATCTTAAGAGAAGGGCTATGAAAAATTGAAAATAACTTGTTCTTGTATTAATTCGAGTGCTACTGGGGACACTTAGAGGTACACTTACAAGAATAAGGGCTAGGGTTCCAAGCATAATGACAACCCAAATGAGTACGATCGGAAGCAGGTTTTTCCGGTTGCCGGCCATTACTATTTCCCTGTAGCTCGCTCGCCTGATATAAGAGCTTTCTGGTGGGTTCACTTCATATGTTTGTATAAAGTCAACTCCTGTCTAAAAGGGCACGTCAATGTCCGGTGTAAGAATACTTTTTTTACACATACTCCCTCTGTCCCTGATTGTTGTTCCAACTTTCCTTTTTGGGCTGTCCCAAAAAGAACTTCACTTTCTCTTTTTGGCAAAGAATTTGTGGTTCACAACATTTCTCTCTCTTCTGCACAATTCTCCACTACACAATTCTCACTTTCTTAATCTGTGTGCCACTTTATTTTGGAACAACAATTAGGGACGGAGGTAGTATCTTTTTACCTGCTCAAGTTAATGACAATATCTTTGATTGGGGTAAGACTCACTTGAGACCTCTTTTTTGGGAGATCAACGGTGATTCCATCAGATCATAAGATACTTGATCATTGATTTAAAAAATGTATCAAAATATCTAATCTAATAAAATCTTATAAATCCCAATGAAGTTTAGGGTAATTTTGACATATTGAATGTGTTGGTGGAACATCATAGTATATCAGTTTGTACATAATGCAAAAGACACTGCACCTATGTTATTCCCATAAGGCTTCCGTTAATTTAAATGACATCTCCGTTATCGTTGTTTATCTCTTTCGTTAATATCCTTGTACGTTGATCGGTATAGTAGCAAATCTGCAAATGAAACATGGAAAGTCGAATTCCCCTTACACCTTGCTAGGCATAAATCTAATTGGTCTTGGCATCATAATGGCCGAGATTTGCATCTATCCATGTTCTACTTCGTTTATTTCACAGCCCTTTTTACATTGTCCCTTTTTTCAAATTGTTGTCCAAATCTTTTGTTTTATGGTAATAAATAGTAATCCAAAGAATATAAGGGTATTAATGTTTTTTTTTATTTTCAGTCCCCGCTTATGTTCTTTTTACCAAATGAGTCTACTTCATCACGTTGCCGTTGGAATTCGGCACTTAAAATTTGCTTTGAGACAATATTCTATGATTTAGACAAAAACTTTTAATTCAAAGTTTCAAACATTAGTTTCCAGCTTCAGCTAATAGCGCCTAACATAGCCTTTAGTCTCTCATCTCATTATCTACTTTAATTTGTCATTTTTCTAAAAGAAATTCTCATATGCAATTGAGAATGTCATACCACTATATATGGAATTAAAGATGCACCACCGTTGACATTTTTTTGCTTGCAAATTATTATTTGTGAATCAGGGGCGTAGCCAAGACACTGGGCTAGACTAGGCCGGTACAAAGAATATTATTGGAAAAAAAATTACACGAAATTTTTTACACTAAAAAAATTGACATTTTTCAATTTTGGGGTGGGCCAGGGCCTAGCCTGGGCACCCCCTAGCTCCGCCCCTGTTTGTGATGTCCCCATTTTGTAAATATTGTATTAATATAAAAATGCATTTCAAGAATATATCAGTTTTATCTTTCAATTAGCCAAAAATCATAAAATACTACCTCCATCCCTTTTAAAGGTTCCTATGAAAAAACGGCACAATTATTTACACAATAATGAAATAAGGTAATTCGAGTATATTTTCACAAATAATTTTGGTATGTATATAATGTAATGAGATTTGTGGTGATAATTATAGTTTTATAAATGTGTTATTTTTTAATATTTATCGATTAAATTATCATTTGGATTATTAGCTAAATATATCTCCAACTATCATCAAATTCACAAATATATCCCATACTTTAACTTTTATTAAAAAAAGACTCAAACTTCAACTTTTCTGACAATTACACTTTCAATGGATGAATTGGTAAAAATTAAGAAGAAAATTATATTCATATTTCATGTTCTTTAATTACTTGTTTATAGTTTCAAGTTTACAAATTTGTATATCTTATGTCTAATTGGTATTGATAAAAATGTGTAATTTTGAAAAATAAAAAAAAGAAAAGCATAATTGTTGAAAAAGATGAAGTTTTAGTCTTTCTTTTGGATAAAAACAAAAGAATAGGATATATTTGTGAATTTGATGATAATCTGGGATAAAATAAGCTAGTAATCCTTATCATTTAAGAGTGTTAATTGTTTTCTAAAATAAAAATGAGAACCTTTATATGAGACGCCTAAAAAGGAAAGGCTAAAGGGTCAAATAGGTACATGAACTAACTTAAAGTGTTCAATTAGCCCCTTATATAGGAGGTTCTGCCCGGCCGTCGCCAATTGGGGCGGTTCCCGGTGGAATTTTTTGATGAAATTTTTTGAGCATCTTCTTCATTAAGTCTACTTTGCCCATATCAAATTTCAGCTAAAAATTAAATCGGGAAGGCACTCAAATGATTTTCCAAAATGTATTGTGTTGTTTAACTGCGCAGTTATCTTCAAAAAATCATTTGACTGCCTTCCCGGTTGCATTTTTAGCTGAAATTTGGTATGGGTAAACTAGACTTAATGAAGAAGATGCTCAAAAAAATTAATCAAAAAATTCTACCGGGAACCGCCCCAATTGGCGACGGCCAAACAGAACCTCCTATATAAGGGGCTAATTGAACACTTTAAGTTAGTTCATGTACCTATTTGACCCTTTAGCCAAAAGGAAACTGAGAACCTTTATATTTGACGAAGAAGTAGTATTTACATTAAATAAACTATATTGGGCACTACATCAATCGCGCAACGAAGTAGTTTATAGTATAATTATAGGAAAATTGCCCTAAATAGGAGCAAATGAGATTTGGAATTTTAAAATAAGACTACTATGTTTTTCTTCTCGAAATAGTAGTTGTTACTGTCATGATTGAAAAATACAATATGATTGAAAAATACTGTCACTAATTATAATAAAAACATAAATATTGTTATGTTAAATGCACTGTATCGCAACTATTTGACAATCACGCCTACAAGATGACAAAAAATACCATCATGTTAGTCTTATTTTCAGGAATAAAAACATAGTAGTCTTATTTTGAAATTACAAACTCCATTTACTCCTATTTTGGGAAATCTCACATATAATTATTTATACATAAAATCCATTTTTGAATAAATTTAAAATTTTGAAAATCACATTTGATAATATTATGGTTGAATGTTCAAAATATCTAAATTATACGAAAGAATCATTTCTCTTTTATTTGAGAAGGTTTCACACATGAATAATTATACGCGAAGGTTTGACGCGTTTTTTAAATCACAAGTGGCTAATACGCTGAATGTATATACAATGAGGGTTTTGGTGCATTAAATTAAACATAGTAATGATATGTCACTTCTGTTAGTTACTCCCTTTGTCACTTAAAACTTTACCAGGTTTGACTAGCACGGGAAATAACATGATCACAAATCATTTGATTATAAGGAAAAATAGCAAAGTTTTTGAGACATCCCAAAAAAACAGATGACAAAAGTTTAAGAGACGGATGGAGTATATAAAAGCAGTGAAAGTTTAAACAAATGAAATACTACCTCTTAAAAATAATTTAATACTTACCCGCTATTCCTTTCTTCCCTAATTAAACTTCCAAGCTTTTTTTTGAACGTTCTAAAATAAACTTTCGTCCTCTCTCTTTTGGCATGGTTCACAATAATTCTTACATACTTTCACATATTTCGATTTTCTTTTCACATCCGCGTCAAATGTACTTTGGAAGTTAATTTAGAAATTAAGGGAGTAACATTTACTTTTGAGATTATTTTATATAAAAGGAATATTTATTTTAATGTAAAAAAAATCATTTAATAAACGGCTCCAAAATATTCCTTGCTTCCGCCAACTAACGAACTTCCTCTCTTTCCTCTTTCCCCACCATTTTTAACGCTGCAAACTTTAGAGTATCCCAATATAGCTCCGAAATTAATTAAACTTCCGAGTCCGGATCGGCGATTCGGATCTTCCGGCTCCCTCCACCAATGTCTAAACAGACATACAGTGTATGTTTCTGTTTCCGTCGGCGGTTCCGCCTAGCTGAAGCCGAGGCTCCGGCGGAGATTAAAAGCCTATTCAATCAATACTCGGAAAATGGGGTGATGAGCGTCGATAACCTCCACCGCTTCCTGATCGAGTTTCAGAAGGAGGAGGAGGCTACGGTGCAGGACGCTCAGGCCGTCGTCGATAGCCTCCATCACCTAAAGCTTTTGCATCACAAAGGTCTCAATCTCGCAGCCTTTTTCAAGTATGTCTCAGGCGGTGCAAATTCTGCTTTTAATCCTAAACTCGGGGTGACTTTCCTATTTCCTTCTTATCTTTGAGTTTAATAAATGAGTGGAATTTCTAATTTTGATTCTCAGCTCTCTTAAATTGGAGAGAAAATCATAACTATTTGTTGTAGTTTTCATCCATTTATTTAGTTTTTATAGTACTCTGCAATAACTATCAATCTAATTCATATCCTTATTGGTGTTGATATTCTCATATAAGTTATTGATCGTTTCTTTCAATATTCCCAGATTCACCATGATATGAATTCTCCCTTATCACACTACTTCATATTCACCGGCCATAATTCTTATTTAACTGGCAATCAACTAAGTAGTGACTGTAGTGATGTCCCTATTATAAAAGCGCTGCAAAGAGGTGTTCGAGTAATTGAGTTGGATATATGGCCAAACTCTACAAAGGATGATATTGATGTTCTCCATGGAAGGTTTGCCATTTTGTTTTTGAAAGAACGAAGGTTTTCCATTGTTAAGTGCATCTTTTCTTTTAGTTCTTGTTTGAATATCAATTGAGTTTCTATTTATTAGGACCCTGACCACTCCAGTGGCACTTAGCAAATGTTTGAGGTCTATTAAAGAGTACGCCTTTTCTGCATCCGAGTATCCATTGATAATAACTCTTGAAGATCATTTAACTCCAGATCTTCAGGCTAAAGTGGCAAAGGTGGGTGTTTTTATATATATGCAAATTTTAATGACATTAGACTCAGTTTTATGGTTGGACTATTGATTGCAGTCATGACTAAATTCCAGATGATCACACTAACATTTGGAGAGATGCTGTTTTGTCCTAACCAAGACAGTTTGACGGAATTTCCTTCACCAGAATCACTGAAAAAACGGGTTATTATATCAACTAAACCACCCAAGGAGTACCTACAGACAAAGGAAGCTAACGAGAAGCCACATAAAGAAAGCAGTTCAGATGAGACTGAAGCTTGGGGAAGAGAAGTTTCAGACCTGACTACAAAAGATAATTATGATAAGGTTCATAAAGCTTAATTCCTGTTAAACATTGTGCATGCACGCATTATAAGCATTAAGGGTCCTAGTTACTGATGTTGCTAGCTTACTGAGATCTTGTTTGGTAACACATAAACTGTCTAAACTGTGAAATTATACTGAAATTGTTGCTGAATTTTCTACAAAATATCAGACATTCAGACTATATGAAAAAAGGCTAAAATGGTCATCTTAACTTCATAAAAAAGCACCTCCAGTTTTATTTTGTTCACTTTCCAATTCAACATGAACAATCAAATAAGTTAATGTATGGGTATATGGTAAAACTATTTTATTAGTGGCTGATAAGCCTAAAAAGGTGGCTATCAAACGACCTCTGATTTCTTTCCACCAGGACGATGCTGATGATGACGAAGAAGAAGACCCAAAGTCACAACAGAATGGCACACCAGAATACAGGTCTTTAATTGCCATTCATGCTGGAAAGGGGAAGGGGGGACTTTCTGAGTGGCTGAGAGTTGATATTGATAAAGTGAGACGGCTGAGTTTGAGTGAGCCACAGCTGGAAAAGGCAGTTACAACTCACGGAAAAGAAATAATTCGGTATGAGTTTGACATTCTCTATATTGATACATTCAAATCAAAATATGCACCTACTGAAAGAATTTTAACTTGTTGCTTAATTAATTCTTATATATGTGCTTACATAAATGTCAGTGCAATATAACTATATTGATGAAAAAAGACTTCTTAAAGCAAGCTGGTTAAATTTTAAGAAAAAGTGAGTTTATTATGATAGAGATATTAATGAATTTTAGATAAACTCTACCTGATACTTTTTATCCAATTTATCAAATTTGAAAGAACTACAAGTTATTTACTCAGTTCTATTTTTTTTCTTTGATATTTAATTGTTAAAGATTCACGCAAGGAAATTTGTTGAGAATTTACCCAAAGGGGACACGCTTCAACTCCTCTAACTACAATCCCTTAATTGGCTGGATGCATGGAGCTCAAATGGTGGCATTTAATATGCAGGTTAGGCTTTTTCCCATCCTTTTTGTTTTCTTACCAATAAAATCATATGTTTGTTACCTTGTGTTAAAACGGGCTCAATAACTCCTATCGCTACAGGGTTATGGTAGATCACTTTGGTTAATGCAAGGCATGTTCAAGGCAAATGGTGGTTGTGGATATATTAAAAAACCAGACATATTGTTGGGATCTAATTCTTCTTATGATATATTATTTGATCCTAATGCTCCAACTCAAACTACCTTGAAGGTGACTAGAGAATCTCATGGCTCATAATTGTGTGTTCAATAAGTTATCATGAATATGCATTTGATTATGCATGTGTAGGTGATTCAATTTTTATGAATCAGGTCACTGTATATATGGGCGAAGGATGGTATCATGACTTCTGCCATACTGATTTTGATGCATATTCACCTCCAGATTTCTATGTGAAGGTACTTTCCCTTTCTTCCCTTTTATTTTCAGTTTGATATTATCATAATTTAGTGCAAGTGGAAAACATTTGAGTGATGATGGTTTCATACTTTCAGAAACATTTTATATTTTCTTCTTTAGAATGTAGTGGTGGAAAAGGCATCTGGTTTAATACTTCGCCATTTTTGCTAGATATGTATAATAGAAAAATATTTAGACATCCAAGTGACAAAAAAATCACGCAATTCCCTCGGTAAAAACCTTGGTGGTAAAAAACTATTTTCTTACTTACATGATGGTCAGTAAACTATCTTTTTTTTGAATGCTTAAAAAAGCAGTTAAATTCTTTATACATAATTGCACATATCACTCATTCATCATGTTGGACCATTAAATAAAACATGATATGTGGCATTCTAATCGTCATCTGATGACTTTAAATCTGTACTTTTGCTTAAAGAGTGGTCATTATCTAAATTAGTAAACCATTTCCTTTCCAAAATGGGAATCAATTTAATTGTTTTTACATACTTTACTCGTCAATTTGGAGAGCAAAAGAAGTTTAGTGACCACTAAGTAACTAAAGCTAGTTCATAGATGTATTAGATAACGAGCTCGACGCTGCATTTCACATTTTAATTGGGCTAACATGGCACCAGGTTCAATTCCAGTGACTAATTTAAAAACAATTGCCTAGTGACAACTGCTCTAAGTCTCTAAAAAGGCTATAGTTCAATATTTCAATGACCAGGCCACTCATTTTGTTATCCCCACTTACTCCAATGTGGTTGGTACTTGGTACCAAGGTGTACTGATTATGATGATGGTCACATTTAAGCTCTTCATGCTAAAACAAAAATTTGTGGCAATAGTAAAATTTCAGTTCCGTTTTATAATTTATTGTTAGCTTTCACATATTTAGAGACAGCCTACTTGAACGATTATGTTGGGAAATGGGAATGACTATAAACATGCTACACAGATAGGCATTGCAGGAGTTCCAGCTGATGTGGTAATGAAGAAGACAAAGACAATAGAAGACAACTGGATACCCACTTGGAATGAGAAGTTTGAGTTCAGACTAACTGTTCCTAAATTGGCTCTTCTCCGTTTAGAAGTTCATGAGTTCGATGCATCCGGTAAAGATGACTTCGCAGGCCAAACATGCATACCAATATCTGAGTTGAGACAAGGGATCCGAACTGCCCCTCTCCATGATCGCAAGGGTGAGAAGTATAAATCTGTAAAGCTGCTTTTGAAAATTGACATTCTTTGACTACTCTGATCTGTATCTCTTTCTATGTATATATATATCTATATAAACGCGCACACTTTTAAATACAATACTCCAAAAAAAGAGATGAGGTATTGAACTAACTTTCCTATTAGGTTGACTTGACGACTAGACACAAAGCCATTAGATGCTTATAGACCGTATAAAGTTCAGAGTAAGTCTAAAAAAGAGATGAGGTAATGCACAAAAACACGCCAATTGGCAGGCCGAACTTTCGCTCTCACTACAAAGGACTTGACTATCAAATTCAAGGACAATTGCCCATTATTCCAATCTTTTGGTTACAGAGACCTCAGATAAATACACAAATAGGTCAACCGAACTTGGGCATCTAACTCATGGACTCGTTATTGCTTGGGATCTTAATTTGTAAGCTTAAACATATGGTTAGTTCCCTTATTAATTAACTTTTCTTGTTTAGCATGATAATTCCTTAAACATTATCAACTACCTAGGGGGCTTACAAACTGATGTATAAGAAAAGTTTGCCCACGAAATCATGCAATGTTTATTTTGACCAATAACTATTTTACAAAGACCAAACTACCTTATTCCTTGAACGACAAATAAAGAATATGAAAAGACTGCCGTTCAAACCATTGCTGCCACTACCTTGATCAGAAGAACACCTTGCACGCGCTTACACCAAGTATAATGTAGCTATGGTTATGGGTGTTTGAGAATAGCCCTAACACGTTTCTAGAAGAAAAATTAGTAATCATATTTTGCAATTCCAAAACATTTTTACTACTATTTAGGATTGAAGCTAAGAGCGTCTCCAATGCTATAATGTACATGATTTATATTTTGTATGAGACAAATAGACATAAAAGAATAAATTCATAACATTTTTCTCTCTTTATCACTACTATCTTATGTATTTTCAGTAAGTTTTTCTCAATAATATTAACCGCAATGTCTACATCTTGACATTTTAAACATTCTTCAAATTTTGAGTGAGTCAGGGTCCAATTATACCCCTCACCTCTGCCCTTATATGTCTTATAAAAATTAATTTTGCCCCAATAAGCAAGTAAATGTCATATTGGCCACTCAATACCAACATCGTATTTCCTGGCACTGATTTCCCGATAACTATTTTAACCACAGAGTATATCATATAATATTTTCTTTATCTTCTTAATATAATAAAATATATGTCAAATAATTTTTTCCTTAATTCAACAAGTTCAGCCGCTTCAATCAAACTTCATGAACTTTAGCAAATTTTATCAATTTTAGTATTATCAAATGAACTCATAGTAATATAGGATGTGTTTAATTTGATTTGAATTGATTTGATTTGATCTTTTTGTATTTTATAGCGTCAAAGTCTAGTCTAAATTGATTTGGTGTGATCTAGTCTAAAATAGTTCAATAAAACATCCATAGTCAGCAATAGGTGGATTCTAGGTGAATTGGCCACTACAACGACTCGAATCACTTGTTGAGGTCAGGTATCGTAACCCAACATCCTGGTCTAATCATGCCCTAATAGTCATCGAACAAATGAATATGATTAAAGCGTGATACAAAATAAATAAGGGGAAAATTCCACAAAAAAGTCCACAAACTATAAATGATAATAACTTTAAATTGAATATAGGTAATCTAACAGCACAAATCGATCGCATCATGTGTTTCATTAACACTTGTAGTGGCCAACCAAGAGGTCCAATAGTTGGCCTCAGGAGGACAAACATATAGACAAATACCTAAAGTACAATTATTAATAAAATACGGAGTATTCGGTAGTAAAACAAGTCATCAGTTATTATTGCTACCAACAATAATCTCATAAAATATACGGAATTGCGGAGAGATGAAACCTCATATAAGCTTTATATGAACTAATGCATCACGGAAAAATCTTCTTGTACACGTTTTCACGTGTGTGTGAAGGTAATTTTTTGTCTCTAAAAACACTGTTCACACACAAAACTTCACACCGTTAACAATGTTTTCACAGACAAAGAATTGTCTTCGCATACGTGTGCATATTGGAAGAACTCAGATGAAGTCTGCAATAGAAAGAAAGAAGCTTAAGACGAGGAGATGACAACTCAGCCTAACTAATTTTTGTTCTAGTAGTTTCTTTCTGTTATGTAGTTAGTTCTCCTTTCTGACTGTATATATAAGAACCGAACTCATCTCTGTAAATTATCTAATACACAATGTTCTTCTTCATATACATTTTCATAATCTGAAATGGTATCAGAGCGAGTCACAGTTAAGTACAATAACTTTCCAATTATTTTTCTGTACTCACTTGGGTCATCAAGTTCCTTTCCACCATCTTTCATCAGGCTTACATTTTGATCAATGGGAATTGGTGAAGGTTTAGCATCCAGTAATCCACACTCACTGATAATATCAAGGGCATATTGTCTTTGATTTATGCAGATTCCTTCATCATTTCTTGCCACTTCAATTCCTAGAAAGAATCTTAAAGGACCTAAATCCTTCAATTTGAAATGCAGCTTCAAATATTTCTTCAAATCATCAATCAACTCATCATTGTTCCCAGTTATGATTATGTCATCAACATAAACCAATAAAATTGTAATGAACTTCCCAGTTTTCTTTATAAATAAAGAATGATCATTCTGAGATTGCACAAAACCATGTTTATTGATGACATCACAAAACTTATGATTCCATTGACGAGATGCTTGTTTTAATCCATACAAGGATTTTTCTAGCCTGCATACCAGATTCTCCCCCTGTCTAGAAAAGCCTTGTGGTATTTGCATATATACTTCCTCTTCTAAATCACCATAGAGAAAAGCATTATTCACATCAAGTTGAGAAATGTTCCATGATTGAGCTGCTGCAATACTCAACAAACAACGAACTGTAGTTATTTTAGCTACTGGAGAGAATGTTTCAGAATAATCAACTCCTGGTTTCTGTGTGTATCCTTTAGCTACAAGGCGTGCCTTATATCTTTCAATGGAACCATCTGAGTGATACTTTATCTTATAAACCCATCTACATCCAATAGCTCTTTTACCCGGAGGCAAAGGTAATAGGGTCCATGTTTTGTTATCCTCAAGAGCAGTGATCTCAGTTTTCATTGCTTCTTGCCAATGTGGTATTAATGAGGCTTCCTCAAAGGAATGTGGTTCAGTTTCTTGGGCAACAGCTAAAACAAACTTAAGATATGACTTTGAAAGTCTATGAAAAGACAAAGAATTGAATAAAGAGAATGGAGAAGATTTGTTACCTGGAAAGTGAACTGGAACATCTGACTGATGTGCAAGGTTACACTGATAGTCCTTAAGATAATGAGGGGGTTGATATGTTCTTGTGGTTCTGCGAAGAGGTGGTATGATAGGAGGGAATTCTGGTGGGGAACTCATATCATGGTTATGATCATTATCAGACTGATCATGATGATTATTTTGAGATGAAGATGAAGATGAGGTAGATGTTTCAGAGTGATTATGGTGACTAAATTGAGATGAGGACGAAGTGGATGTGGTAGATGGTGGGTCAGATGGTTGAGGGATTGGAATAGATGAAGGAAAATGAATGTTATTTGGCAGAATAGAAGGAATCTGTGCATCAGGATAATTTATGGATTGATCAGAAGAGATGAATGCAAAAGGAAATTGATTTTCAAAGAAATAGACATCACGAGATATTTCCTTGACTTTTCTGTGGAGGTCATAAACAATGTACCCTTTTATGCCTGCTGGGTATCCAAGAAAAATGCACTTATTTGCTCTAGAATCAAATTTTGATCTTTGATGGGTTATAGTGGAAGAATAACACAAACATCCAAAGACTTTAAGGTGGTGGTATGAAGGAATTTTAGAATATAAGAGTTCAAATGGTGAGTGATTACCAAGATTTGGTGTGGGGGTCCTATTGATGAGATATGCAGCAGTATTAATGCATTCCCCCCAGAATTGCAATGGTAAGTGGGCTTGAAAACGCAATGAACGTGCTACATTTAAAAGATGTCTGTGTTTTCTTTCAACAACAGAGTTTTGTTGAGGTGTATAAATGCAGCTTTGTTGATGTAGGATACCTAATTCAGCAAATTCATTGTGCATTTGAAATTCTTTACCTTGATCAGACCGGAATGTTTTGATCTTAGAATTAAATTGGGTGGAAACATAGGATATAAAATGTCTGATATGTGTTCTGGCTTCAGATTTGGTTTTCATGAGAAAAATCCATGTAAACCTACTGTAATCATCTACTACAGTTAGGAAATAGTATGCACCAGATAATGAAGAAATCTTCATAGGACCCCAGATATCTAGATGAACAAGATCAAATGGATTATCTGATTTGTGAGGATTTATAGAAAAAGGAAGTTTATGTTGTTTTCCAAACTGACAGGCATCACAAACATCAGTACTTTTCATACAAGATATATCATTGAATACATCATGAAGGAGTTTCATTCTATCTAGGGAGGGGTGTCCTAGTCGTTTATGCCATGTATGAGAAGAAACAATGTTGTTTATGAAGACTTTATTTACAGCAGAACTGGATTTATTTGGTTCTTGGACTATGTAGTATAAACCTTGAACTTGCTCAGCTGTCCCAATCACTTTCAAGGTGCTGGATTCCTGAATATGACAATCAAGTTTTGAAAAAATGAGTTGACAATGATTATCAGTAATCAATTTTCCAACAGAAATCAGATTGAAGTGAAAAGAAGGAACAAATAAGACTCTTGTAAGAGTGATCTCAGGATTCAATTGAACTGTGCCAATATGTGTGGCAATTGTATGTCCCCCATTTGGTAAGTGTATGGGTAAAGGAGAACATAAAGCATAGTGTGTGAACATGGAAATATCACAAATAATGTGATCAGTTGCCCCAGAATCTAGAAGCCAGATATTAGGATGAAGATGAATTGCAGAAGATACAGATATATGATTATTCAGAACTTTATGTGTACCTGACTTCTGAAAAGAAGAATTAGATGCAACCTGATTTGAGAGATGTGGATTATTTGGAGGGTATGAAACATTGGAGGGATTGGAATGAGGCACATTACTCGCAGAAGCCAGATTAATACCACCTTTGATAAGAGAACAAAACTGTTGATACTCCTCTTGAGTCAAACTAATTGAACCCTTGCCTGATTCTTCAAGTTGTTCTTCTTGCATAACTGCATTCACAATGTTCTTATTTGTATTCTGCCATCCTCCACTTGTTTGACCAATTTGAGATTTGAAACGAGCAAGCTTATGTCCAGGTGGATATCCAATTAGTTCAAAACAGTTTTCAATTGTGTGATTGGTCTTCTTACAATGAGTGCAAATTTTCTGTTTGTGTCCATGTTGTTCAGATCCCTCATATGTGTAGTATCTTGATTTGTCTCCAGTTTTGTTTCTATTGTAGTTTGGATTTGATTGAGCAGCCATTGCCATAGTCATAGAATCATTTTGATAACCAATAGAGATACTCAATTCTTGATTTGCTTCTTCTTGCAAAACCAAGTTGAACACATTATCAATGGGAGGTAGGGGGTCTTTCAGCAATATCTGATTCCTCACCGAAGTAAAACACTCTTTCAGTCCCATAAGAAATTGCATCACATACTTTCGTTCAAGTCTTCTATTCATTTCAATTAGAACAGGGCAATTATCAACAGTACACACAGCAGACTCTTCATATTGACTGATTTCATCCCATAATGTCTTCAGTTTAGAGTAATACACACTAATTGGTGAGTTATCCTGTTTTGTAGCAATTAAACTCTGTTCAAGCATGTATATATGATTGTTGCTAGATCTGGAAAACCTACGTTTCAGTTCCTTCCAAACTTGAACAGCAGAATCAGAATATAAAGTGAAATCTCCTAGTTCTGGTGACAAACAATTAGATATCCATGAAATTACCATATGATTTGCTCTCATCCACTTGAAATAGTTCGGATCATTGATCGCAGGTCTGGATAAAGTTCCATCAATAAATGGCAACTTATTCTTCGCAGATAGTGCAACATACATCAATCTGCTCCAACGGTGATAGTTTCGAGCATCAAGCTTTAGGTTGATTAAGGATTGACTCGGAGATTCAGCATGATGAAGAAATAGAGGATTTACTTCATCTCCGTCGTTGTGATGATTATGATTATGGTTCGAATGTTGATGATGACTGTGTTCGGATTCACTGTCGCTGGAATCCATGAAGAAACGATAAAGAGATGATGAATTTTAGGGATTTGATAGCAGAATTGATGATCGCGGAAGCTCTGATACCATTTCAAATGAAAAATAATCTAAGAAGAGAAATGGAATAAATCTTCGTATTTGAGTCATACATCTTTGAGCATATGTGTGTTGTGGACGTGTATAGGAACCTATTCCAACATAAACGTAAAACTTGTTGTACAAAATATGCATTTTTTTATTAAGATGTTGTTTTGTTGAAAGATGGAACTCTCCAATATCTTAAGTTTGATGCATGAAACCCGTTTGCATTTGGTATTGAAGCTTTAAGATGGAATTAAATTCTTAACAAACTCTTTATTTAAATAATTTTTCATTGAGGATTTTTATACAGATACGCACAAATCGGTAGGAGGTAATGATGTATTTATATTTATATTTTATACTAATTGTTTTCCTTTAAAGTTTTACTACTGCTTTATGAGGGGGCCGTACTGATCAATTTTTGAAGGGGGCGGATTGTTTTTTTATTATTGAGAAAATGGTTTATATTAAAATGATAGAATCAATTGAACAACAACAGGACCAACACAGTAGACAAACAAGAAAGACTAGAAATCATTGTTCGATCATACGTCATGAGATCAGACTCTCTCAGAAACTATCACTTACGCAAGAACAATATAATTCACTCATCCCCACTTGGATAACTGTAAGTCAATCATGATCGACGATATATTCTCGTCTGTTATCTTATGCTGAATTGATAAAATAACGATTAAAAAACGATTGTTGAAATAATGCCCAAAAGAATTGGTGGAATTCAATATGATTCACTCATCACAAACTTACAATGTTGATCGACACCAGGATTAAAATTATTTGTGTGCTACTAATACAATTAATTAATATAATTAATTACACCTAGTTTAATTTCCCAATATAATCATTGCAATCTGTTGGTGGCGGCTATTCGGCGACGTGCAGCCCGTTAGCAGTCCTACGACAGTGGTCAGGCAATGGTGGTCAAAACGTTCTGCTGGGGTATTGTTGTTCAAAAATACATCAGTGTTGAGTGTTGACTTTCTTAGTAATTTTTTTTTTCATTTTTGAATGTTTTGTTTGTGATTTAATAGAGTTATAGAACTTCTATCGAATTTCTTCAAAAAACATTGAAATTCGTTTGCCCAAAGAACTTTCAAAGAACTTCTAGTAATTATTCTTCAAAATATTACTAGGGAAGAATAATTACTTTGAAATTCGTTCAAAGGGGACGGGCAGTATATATTTTGGTCATTTTCCTTTAATGTTTCGCATATGCTGATCTGATATCTAATGTTTTTAATTTTCGTGTATGCAAGTGTTAAGATTTTTTAATTATTCCTTCAGAAAAAGATTCTTAAATTATTAGAGCCATGATTTGAACATCAAAGCTATAGAATCCGATTCGTTGTCTCCGAGCAGTCCAATAATGTACTAGGAAATACGTAGTATGTATGGAAGAAGGTTAGTTTCATGAGATGCAGTTGAAAAGTCGAGATTGCCTATTTAAAACATGTTCAAAGTTTCTAAGTAGTGGTTCATGTTTTATATCCTCAATAGTGACATTTTTATAACTGAAATTTTATATTGTTGCGCAGTGTGCATTATATCAAGGGAAAATGGAAACTAATAATCCAACTTTTTAGCGGTCTTCTTTCAATAATCCCACCTTTTGATTATTCATGAATAATCCAACCTTTGCACCTCATCTTCATTCATTGGTCCCTGGTCGGTTAATGACCTACTATTCCAAGTTATTTTCTTATCTTTGCAAAATATTATCTTTGTGAAAGATGAGATTTATGGTATAATGATTTGCAAAGATAAGAAAATAGCTTGGAATATCAGGTCATCAACTGGTCAGGGACCAGTGAATGAAGATGAGGTGCAAAGGTTGGATTATTCATGAATAACCAAAAGGTTGGATTATTGTAAGAAGACCGCTAAAAGGTTGGATTATTAGTTTCCATTTTCCTTTATATCAATCTGAAATGAACTAGAATGCACATAATTCTTATTTTTCACAAGAAGAATCTTTCTCTTTATGTTTTTTTTATATCAATCTTTCTCTTTATGTATGTTATTACTGGGTAAAAGACACTTCATGATGCACTGAAATATGCAATCTAGCACGGTGGCATTTTTGTAAATACTTCTGAAAAATCCATATTAAACGTGTCTAGTGCAACATGAAGCTATTTCGGTGCAATGCCGTCAAATATTAGTGCAAAATGAAACAGTTTTAGTGCAACATGTGCAAAATTTAAATATTACTGCAACATAAAACCAATTTTAGTGCAACTTCGTAAATCCAATGGCTGAGATTCATTCTCATTTCTCACATTAGATGCATTTCTCACCTGAACCAAAATCTGTTATTACTTATGTATATATATAATTCGGATCAAATAAAGAAAGACGTTACTAAAGTGCAAATATGTGAATTTGCGCTTCTACTTTCTTTCTTTACGGACTACTCTACTTTACGCAGTGGATAAAAAATCACTTATTAAAAAATGGGGTTGTAATTTTGTGAATAAGTGAACTTGTTGAGATAAACATTTAGTTTTATTACAGTTCTCACTAGTAAAGACGAAATCATAGTTTGCGAACAATAGACCATCAAACTTGAAACATAATACCAAGGCCACTTTGTAAATTTGTTTTTCGATTTTATCACTCCAAGACTTAAAAATAGTACGTTTAATACTCCGTATCAATCAATAAGGGATCTGAAAAATAACGTATGTCAATAAAAGATTCGAATGATCGAAAGCTATCAACCTAAGATTTAAAGTTCCATGAATTTTAATATTTTTATTTTTGAAAAGGTTTAAATATTATTTAATCTTATTAATTAAACTACAGAGTAATAAACTTTGGGTTCCTATATCGTACACCCGGATGTACAGGTACATACAGGTATTTTTGAAATTCTTTCTAATTTGTAATTGGAAAAGAAGGCTTCAACTAATGAGACTCATCACCGGCGAAATAGCTAGACTGCGAAGCCAAAACTCGGAAGACGCTGCCCGACCGGCTTCAATTTACCAACTCTTGCAATTCCGATTTCAATTCACTCTTTTTCTCTGTTTAATATCTTCCTTTATGGCCTGCCGCCCTATTCTTCTCCAGAAGGCAATTGTGCCTTATAGAAATCCAAGTTCCAACCTCCCAGTCCCAGGTATTAGTAATACTTGCTCCGTATTAAGCATATAGCTTCACACATTGACTGTCTTCAATTATTGATGCAATTGGCCATGAATTGGAACTTGGGGTTTTGGAACTTGGGGTCGGGAGTTCTACAGACTTCAGGAACGCTGCTCAATGCTATTGTTAAGAATAGGTTGTCTCTTTAATCATTATATTTTTGAAATTCTTTCTAATTTGTAATTGGAAAAGAAGGTTTCAACATCCGGGATCCAAGGAGCAAGAAGCACAAATATGGCCGGACACCACCGATGTCACTACAGCCGTTAGAGCTACAAGCACACCAGACTAACCAACGTAGATGACCATGGGATTGGGACAAACCACAGTTTCCTTCATCTTCTTCAGTTGGATGAAAATCACATGCCCCCGGACTAATTTGTTTATCATCGATACTCATTTTGTACGTTATGTATGCTCATTTGGTACCCCTATTCTGCTCACTTTAAAATGTTATATCAATGCATATTTCAATTGCACCAAATTACATTAAGTTCGCATAGGAGTTGATTATAGGCCTTTTTATTCCAATATTACTAAAACTTTGATAAAAGATAAAAAAATGATCTGTTTTTAAAAATTCTAAAAATGTGACCAACATCATAATTAACCCTGCAGTGTAAAGTGACTACAAGTAAAGTGACTCCGGCCAAAGTGATCCCACCGACCACAGTGACTGTCCCACCGTCACAGTGACTGCCCCACCGCCACATTGACTCTGGTCAAAGTGACTCCGCCCGTCAGTGACTTTGCTGCCACAGTGACTCCGCCTGCTGGTGACTGCGCCGCCACAGTGACTGCGCCGCCACAGTGACTACCGCCGCCCGATCAAAGTGACTGCCCATTCACCGGTCACAGTGACCCCTGGACAAAGTGACTGCCCGCCTAACTCCACCACTGCCTTCCACGCTGGCCTAGAACCACCACTGCCCACCACCCGCCAATCACATCCCCTCTTCTACCCCAGTCCCCTCTCCCACCTACCCCAACCCCTAAACCTACTATGACTGCCGTCAACTACTACAACCGGCCACCCTCGCCACCCCTGTCCTCCGCCACACTTTCCCAGCCCCCTCCCCCAACTTCGCAGCCCCCATCCTTTACACAATCGCACCCCACCCCGTCATGCCGCCTACAATCGCTGCAACCTGCCATCATTCCGCTCCAAATTCCAGATCCGAACACAGGCGGAACCACATCGGAATCTAGCCCATCACAACCCACTGCCCTGCGTCAGACCCGTCGTGACCCCCTCCATTTCCCCCGTAAACCATAACCGCTTCAGATTTGAACTGAGTTGCACCTCCATCGCTGATTTGAAGTGATAGATTAAGGAAATCCAGCGACGAATTGAAGAGGGGAAGAAGAGCCGTGACGAAGAGGAGATCGAAGAAGAGCCGCGGAGGGTTGTGCGATCTGCGAAGGAGAGTTGCGAAGTTGTGAAGGATTTTTCTAGCTGCGAAGGAGATATGCTCGATGGAAGGGGTTTGGGAGAAAAGGTTTATGCGCGATGGAAGGGTCACATTTTTAGAAAAAGTCAAAATTGATACTCCCTCCGTCCCAGAATTAACTTCGGTTTTGACTGGACACGGAGATTAAGAAAGTGGGAAATGTGTGGTGGAGAGTTGTGCAGAGGAGAGAGAAATGTGTAAGAATGATTGTGAACCACAAATCCTTTGCTAAAAAGGGAAAGAGGAGATAAATTTGGGACGGACCAAAAAGGAAAGAATGAAGATAATTATGGGACAGAGGGAGTATATGTTTGGAATTGAAAAGTCAGGAAGTCATACGGCGGCAATTATTTCTTGATTATGAATATGTTTATATTAAACTGAAATGAGTATACGCCTACAAAGAATGAACGTCCACAAATGACTTTTTGAATTTCTAGATACTCATTATGTACGTTTTGATGCTCATTTGGCACTGCTGTTATACTCATTTTAAAATGTTATATCAATGCATATTTCAAAGGCAACATATTACTTTAGATTCACATAGTAGTTGATTATAGACATGAGAGT